AAGGACCAATCAACGCAAAGATGGTGGGTCGTGTGACACGACCCACCATCTTTGCGTTGATTGGTCCTTTTGTTGCATGCAGTGTAGACTTGATCGATATCAATGTGTCGGTTGAGTGAATGCTGGTGCATACTAGGATTTGATCTGTGTGGGTCTTCTTTCTGTACACTGATGTTTCTAGCAGTCCGGACGATGATCTTGTTACTAGGACATCAAGGAATGCCAACTTGTCATTTTGTTTTGTTCCCATGGCGAACTTGATATCCGGGAAGATATTGCTGATGCTGTTGAACGTTCTGTTCACTTCTAATTACTTCAGGATCACGAATGTTTCATCTACTTATCTAAGCCAGAGTTTGGACTGGAGTTGGGGTAGAATCATTCTTTCGAGTTTTTGCATTACGGCTTCAGCAATGAATCCGAAAATTGGTGAACCCATGGTTGTTCCTTTCACCTGTTCGTAGATTTCACCATCTGATTCGAAGTGTGTTTATAGGCATAGGCCCATCAGCTCGCAGATATATTTGTTATCCAGTGTTTGGTGTATCTTTCTTTCTTCTAGAAACTCCTTCAGTGTTTCCCTGGCCAAATCGAGGTTGATGGAGGTGAATAGCGCGGTGACGTCGAAGGATATCATTATTTCATCCGCGTCAATATTTAGATTCTTCAGTTTTTCTAGAAACTATTTGGCGTTGTTAATGGAATGTTCGTAGCCGACCATGCGAGGTTTGAGTTTCCTCCACAATCCTTTGACCAGTTTGTAGGTTGGTGTACGGAGAAGCGAGACTATCGATCGTAGTGGCACATTCTCTTTGTGCATTTTTGGTATCCCGTAGAATTGAGCCGTGTTTGAGTCGTTTGCTTTCATTCTCCACTCTTCTTTGTTAATTTGGTGTAGTTTTTCCAGCCGTTTCAACGTTGCGTTGATTTTGCTGGCGAGTTTTCAAGTTAGATCTATGTTCATTTTGTGATAGGTGGTTGTATCTTGGAGTAATTCGTTTGCCTTCCTGATGTAGTCTGTTTTGTCCATTACCACGGTCACTCTTCCTTTGTCCACTGGGGGGATGATGACGCTCTAGTCATTTCTCAGTGTTTTGATTGCTTTCTCCTCGGTTTTTGAGAATGCACTGAATGGTTTGTTTTGGTTCCCAATCGGAACGATGGTTCGCCGTTGTTGTTTGGTGTTATCGGATAGCCCGGTGGCTTTTAGGGCATGTTCTAATTCCGATAAGTATCCTTTCTTTGTCGCGTCTTTTGCATTGAAGTGAAGTCCTCTGATGAGAACTTCTTTTTCTTCGTTTGATATTGGACGTGTTGAAATGTTACTGATCCAGGGATCGTGTTGCTCAGTCTCCGTGTGCTTACACAAATTCTCAAGTTTCTTGGCTAACGACTTCATTCAAACAACAATCAACACCGTTGTTTACAAAACTGTCATCCATCTTCGGGCGTTAAACGTTCAAAGCCGCTCGTCGATGGTAAGCTTTCGCTTGTCGTCAAGCTTCAACTCGTGAGCAGCTATATTTTCTACACAAGTGCTTACGAAACAACATCCTCCCGTCTAGCGTTAGCCATCGACCACCAATCAACCACCCCGAAGCCTGGAAAATAGCAATGCGATATGGTAGAAACATGGCCAGAGTGATGGTCACCGATGCTCATAGACGTATACATAAATACGACAAAATCGTGAAGGAAGAGATGATAACTTACGCAAGTATAGTGGACGACGAAACCCTGAGAAGCATACAATCAGCTGTTCAGAGAAGAGTGAACAACACAACAGCAAAAAAAGAATGAAGAGATGCAAGTTACATGATGCTTAACGAGACCACGAATGAGTGAATAGCCAACTAAGTGAAAAGGGTAAACATTCTCTCACCAAATAAACGGATGCTGGCAATCAGCAGCCGGTAGGAAATTTTTGCCTTGTCTCTGAGTTAAAATCGAACCGAGTTTGTAAGTTTGAAAAATATTTTGAGAGTATGCAATTTTATTAATTTCTCAATTGTTTTCCTAAACAGTTTTATTCGAATTCATATGCTTATCTCACAAAGTTTTTCTTTTTTCTTTTACTCATTGTCGGACACGCTAACCCTGTTCCGTGTCTTACTCCCCATTTTGCACCGCCGACCACCACAGGAGGATGAAGATGCGAGTTGAGCAACAGCCCACATGTGATGATGGCGATTTCGTCACGGATGGTAGTGTTCATCTTCGGAGTTCATTGATTTTGGTCATAGTGGATCGAACAACTGGCTTTATCGGTACACACAAAAGGGTCTGTTATGTAATCAATGATCGGTCAGAGTAGCGCCCATTTGCCTATCTTTGTTTGTTTGTGTGTGTGTGTGTGATGTGCTTGCATGCGTGCGCGTGTGGATGGAAGCGTGTTTATGAGTCCGTCATTCTGTCTAACAGAACATAAATGAAATAAATAAATAAATAATGTCCTCAGCCATAATGCGCCTTTTGATTTCCAAGTTTCAACAGGAGCATAATGCCTCTGTAATTATGAACGATGGTAGGGAGGAGAGAAAAGCAAGATATTCGGTCATATGCACTTGACCTTCAATTACAGTAAATTAACAACTTCTGAAATTACATATATATGTCATACGAACAAACTCTCCTCCCCTAACATTACCTCTCACTCACTCTCCCTGGTGGTACAACTGATAAAGTTCTGTAGCTGGCTATCAAATTCATTTTGACAGCACTGACAGCGGTCGGAGTGAGGTGCATCTATGGACAAGGTAGTTTAGTTCTGCGGGTTACCTAAGTGACGGGCCAAAGTAATACTGAAAACAGTCGGATTCCATGAGATCCCGGCTTAGGTGGCTTGATTATTCAGTGTTAGAAAGAGCATGATGATCTGTGTCATTCGGTGGCCCACTGTCTGCTAAGTTCATGCTGTTTTCAAATTCTAGAAGTCTCCGCTTACTGAGTGTACTCGCCCGGCCTAATGGAAGAGCGCAAGGAGCGTTGCTTTTCGATGATACTTTAACGTAAACATGCGAAGCTGTGCGTGAATTTGGTGTGAAGTGAAGTCCCTGGTACCAGTCAGCTTTTTGTTTGAGTGTACAGATCTAGCCCATGCACAACCAGGTGCCGTAAGCAGTGATAGAATGACGATACACATAGTCGGTGCCCGGGTGAGCAGTTAAAAGGTCTTCTGCGTGATATATGTTACCGAACCAAAGGACCGCGGGGGCACTCTCACGTTGCGAAAACTGCAGTCAGTTGGTCTTCCGTTAATTTACCGACTCTCGCAGAGGTCAAAAACACTCTGAAATTCCCTTCCAGTGATTATGGTAGAGGAGAAGATAGACGCTGCTTTCAAACGGCGTTTGGATGAGCACCTGAAGGGACTATGGAGGAACGAACACTTGTGATCGGAACTCCGACCCAGTGGTAATGGTGCTTACACGGGCACCGTGCTCTCTGCCCTCAATACCGAAGACTGACACTGGATCGTTCACAAAGGATTGCCACGAAGCTGATTAAGGGATTGAACTGCCTGATCTGTGAAGGGAGATTACGACCTTCGGGACCCTACTCTGCTCAGTACTGCCGAATTCGAGGAAACTTGATTTTGGCGTATCAAATGCTGCTCAACCCAAACCATGCCTGTTGTTCGCTGCTCACACTGTCACCCAATACACACCTTAGGGATATCTTTGAAGTTATTTTGGTTCCAAAATGCCGACTGAAATGCCAGCGTTAAACTCTTGTTGCTACAGGGGACATGACTTGGAACGCCTTTCCATCTCACCTCGTTTGTGCACCAACTGTAGAAACTTTCAAGCGGAGACCTAAAAGAATGTCTTTTTACTTCCTTTTT